TGACAGAGTGTTAAAATGATTTAAAACCACAGAACTAAATCTGTCTAAGCCATTCGAGAGCCTGTCTAGATTACATCATATTTTCCAGATGACGAGACAAAATCTAAAACTGCCCGTTGCACAGACCCATGCATGATATTGGGGCCCAAAGCTGTTTCTAATGAAAATACATCATCAACCTCAAGTACAGCACTTCTGAGATTATGTCTTATGTTGTTATGCCCATGGCATGTAATTAGATAATGTTCGATATTTTCAGGCGTCTCCAAATAGCAATGGCCATATTTAGAAGAGACCGTCTTATCTATAATACTCCTGTAAGCATTTAGCCCACAGTGTCCAAGTCTGAGACGTGAAAGAATAACCTCATCACGCCTTTTACGACGACGAATTTCATGACCAGATTTTAAAGATGGTCTAAGTTTGTACATATGTCGGCCGGTAGTACCTGTATCCAACATTCTGTTGCCAACTCCTTATAACAGATTTCGATAAAACATTTTCAAAATCTTTAGCGACTGGTTGAAATTTAATTAAATCAACTTCAGGAAACTGTAATCCAGATTTGGCAAAATTATCTGCAATCTCATTCCCATGTATTCCAACATGTGCTGGGACCCACACAATGTCGCATGCAATGTACTTCATGTTATCTACGGCTTGGCCCGATGATTTTATTACCTCCCTTGGCTGGCTCCGCATTCTCACAGTAGCCAATCAGCTAAGCCGCCGTTACACCCGAGCTTGCCAGTGTCAAAAAAGATAGCGTTCGCTGCCGCGAGGTTTGTTCACAGTGCGACTCAGATTTGGGGGGAAATCATACAGACAAATTTACAGGTCTGAAACTTTAAATAAATATATGCAAGAACTCCTTCAGCCTCTCTCAGAGTACCTCTGCATCAATTGTGTTGCCAAGTTTAATCGGTTAGATAATTCAAGAAGCGAAAGTGAGTAGTGATTGGTCCGCTCAACTTCCCAGCGTAGACACCTGATTGGATAAAATGCCAGCCAAGGGAGGTAATAAAATTATCCGGCGGAACTGTAGATGAGTCCAGGGTATAGTGGAAAGTCCAGGGTATAGTGGAAAGTTATCGTAACGTATACCCTGGAGATTATCGAGGATGTATCACAGCGGGGAGCACCAGAAATGGCATTCACACATTGTACACTGTTGGGAATCGAACCCGCGTCCTCAGCGTGACGAGCGTGTGCACATCACTAATCATTACTGACATCCATCTGAGACCTGGACATGCTGATCGGAATCACGTTTTGTCTACGGGGCGTGTCACGCTTAGAAACAGCGTTAGAAAGACATATAGGTATATAGAACCTTTTATAATAATAATAATGCACTTGTATAGCACCTAATTTCCAACCGGTGGCTGCTCAGTGGTGCTTCACAAGGTTAAAAAAAAAGAATAAAATAAACAGAGTTATTGGTTGAAGAGATGGGTTTTCAAGTCACGGCGGAATGACTGGACAGAGTCCGCAGATTTAATATATGTTGGTAGGCTGTTCCACAAAGTTGGAGCCACAATAGAAAAAGCCTGGCTAGCTAACTTTGTCCTCGTAAAGGGTACACAGAGCTGGAGTTGACCAGATGAGCGGAGTCTGCGAGCAGGGAGATGGGGAGTGAGGAGGACCTTAAGATAGGCTGGAGCAGTGTCACAGTGGAGGGCAGAAAAGCAGATAGTCAGGATCTTGAAGGATATACGTTGTTTGATGGGTGGCCAGTGCAGTTCTCTGAGAATTGGAGTGATGCGTTCATGTAGTCGAGTGCGGGTTATGAGGCGGGTTGCTTTGTTCTGAACTCTCTGGAGATGTGAAATAGTGCCGGATCCAGAGAGAAGAGAGTTGCAATAGTCCAGATGGGACGAGACGGAAGAATGAATCAACGTTTTGCAGGTATCACAGTCCAAATATTTTCGGATTATATAGTACTAGGGTAGGGTCTATATACCTATATGTCTTTCTAACGCTGTTTCTAAGCGTGACACGCCCCTGTGGTTTTGTCTACATTGAGAGTAAAGTACTGGGTCATTTAAGTTAACTCTGTCGCACTGCGTTACCTTAGAGTACCAACATGTGTACAGAAGATGTCTGATCTTCCGTCCAGTTGAGTCAAACCTGCACCTCCATTCCCTACACGTGGGTATATTTCTTCAGACCTCATGTTATGAAGGAAGGGTATATGTAAAACGATGAAGTACATTGTTTATATGTCTTTTCAGCAGGGGAGTCCATACAGAGACAACTAAGTCTCCGCGTACCGATATGTTACATCTGTATATATTACGTCCATTGCCCGAAATGGACCTTGTCAAGAAATATGGTGTGTGTATTTTAAAAGTGCAGCTAACGAACGAACTAGAGAAGCAGTAGCAGAAATGAGCCAGGATCATATTCAGTCTTACCTGGTGATAGGTAATATTGCCTGGAATTATAATCATCGATTAGCAAACCGCATGGATGATGTATGGGAGCGACTCGACAAGTGTATTCACAAAGTACCTTCCTCCTTTCTCAGCGAGTTTGGTGAACGTTTGTCATATCGATCACTATAGCAAGAGGTCGAAGCTGTTGTAAACTCCCTTCATACGGTATCTGACGGTCCTGGTGATCTAAACCCGTTAACGCCTAACCATCAGCTAAAATGATAAAGTTAAATATGTCTTTCCAAACCCAGGTCATTTTCAGCGCAACGATGTCTACATACGGTAGAAATGACGTAGGATCCAACAGTCTCTGGTCTCCTCAGCGGGAGGGGCGGTGGGGGGAGGAGTCTTCCCACTTACCCAACTCCTATTGTTTGAGTAGAAGAAATCACTAGGCCGCGATAATCCCTTTTAATCCCTTATTTTGTTCCCTGTGAAATAGGATTAACTATATATATACAAGTTATCCAGTTATACACGTTATCCATTTATACAACTAAATACAACATCAACATCATATGAAATCATATCACATAATACATCAATATTTCAGATCAATACACTTAATATCCAGTACTCTAGTTGCTTTACTGTCCTTTGTCGGCAGGTTTTTATACTCTCTATATATATTCTATTTCAATGTCAAGTGTTCTCGTCACGATATGGTTTAAATATTGCCGATGTGACGTTAAATAATAACTCACTCACTTAACGTATCTTCTCTTCCTAAGTGGGGGTCTTGCACCGTTTCTTAACTGTAGAACACATGCCTCTATGCAGGCTTGTTCCGTCTTTACAAGTCTGCCACAAAAGGCGACTATGCTTGTCGTAAGAGGCGACTAACGGGATCGGGTGCTCAGCTCGCTGACTTGGTCGACACATGTCATCGGTTCCCAATTGCGCAGATCGATGCTCATGCTGTTGATCACTGGATTGTCTGGTCCAGACTCGATTATTTACAGACCGCCACCATATAGCTGGAATATTGCTGAGTGCGGCGTAAAACTAAACTCACTCACTCACTCACTTTACAAAGTCAATGCCTTATAAATGTTGGGGTGACTTTCGGCAAACACATCACTCACTTTACGATGCCACCTCTCTACATGCTTTGTTGTCCTTGGACCTTCCTTTAGTGTTGATTGTTGATCGACAGTCTTTCTCACAACACTTCGTATTATCAATTTCAACTCCCTGGGGAGTATACAACTATTGTACCAAAATTGACACGAACAGAAGACCACTACGCAACCTGAAAACTATCATGTAGTCCTGGCTCGATACAGGATGCCATGCTGCACCTCGCAGGACTGCTTAACGTATTGACATTCCATGCAATCTGTTACCTACTGATGGAATGGTGAGGTACATAGTCTACTTTGGTGTTACAAATGCACGTTTAGCACAACCGGGCCTGTCTTGTCCAATACCATGTGCATTTAACACCTGTATTCAACATTTAATAATGGGCAGGGTGTTTCTTACAATGAATTGTTTTCGGCACAGTCGCGTTATAGATAAAACCACTTGAGGGAAATGTGTGATGTTAAGTTAAACAGGAAAATATTGATCTCTGTTACCATGCTGATTTTACACTACTATAAATAACAGTGTTTTAAACATGACAGTGTACAGGAGATCGATGTGGAACTGAAAACTACCAAACTGTTTCCAATTTGACGCATCGACAACTGAAATGATGCCCAATGAAATTCTGCATCATTTCGACTAGTACTATATGTTCCAATGTTTTTATAACTGAACAGTTGACTTGCCTTGGCAGGTGTTTATGACGGCTTCCACTAATGGGGCTCACCTTTTCGCGTATATCATCACTATTTGATAGTCTATCGTGAACACCTGCTCATGATATAGTCGAAATCGTTCAGTGGATTGTTCTTAGAAGTGATTTCCTATGGCATTTCTTTGTTGTTGTCTTAAATATCTGTTATGCACCATCCAACCCTTAAGATCCACAATAACGTCAACAATAGTGTTATCCTGACTCTTTTCTTGACATTTTATCACAAAATAGATATTAAACTGTTCTTTATAACACAATCAGCATCAGCATGAGTAATAGATATGGACTGAATCAATTACCTTTAGTGTTTCGTGCAGGTGTACTCAACATCGCATAAATTTACATACTTGTATAAATTCATTGCCACTGTGTTAGACGAAGGTAGAGAAAGATCAGTTTGTCTGCGATTTAAGCAAAGCATATGACATAAAGGTATTATTTATATCCTCAATGCTTACTGTATCCAACGTCAACTTCTGAAATAGCTCGAAAACTATTTAGAATACAAAATCCATAATGGTTATTGCTCAGAATCAAAATCTTTACAAGCAGGGTTCCCCAAGGTTTGGTTCTTGGACCGGTTCTATATAAACGACACTTTTGATGGCTTAGAGATTAGTATGTGCCTGTTTGCATACGATCCGTCGATATATATTATCGTTGTAGATTTATATCTCTGCAGTAACGTATCAATGACATTTGGTAACATATCTGGACCCATACATAGCAGACAAGAAACACATTTTTACAAGTCCGGAGAGATGAAAGTATCGCCAAAAAGACAAATTCAGCGATAATGTGTTTATTAGGAAGATCAAATATACTAAAGCATTACACAAATATGAAGGCGTCTGTCTTCCGATTGTATTTCCCTTGAAGCCACCGTGTCGCAGCTTTTCCAACTATCGAGTGTCGAACTCCATCAACCACGTAATATCACAGATTTCCTTAGCTTTATCAGTGTTATACTGCTCATAAATCATCATTAAATAAAGTAAATAATGACTCGAGGACATTTTGCTTCTTCTAGGACTATCACACAATGGCGAATGTTCAATAACATTCAATCTTGCTCAAATACTGGTGCTCACAGTCGCATTCCGACTGTCCTCCAACGGACGTTTTGGTCTCAGTTTGTTAAAGATTCCCTTCCAAAGATCGTAGACCCTTCTGTTGGCAATGTAGCATATGAAGAGAAGAACTCCAAGAGAACCGTTCAGGATGATAGAGATATATATAAGAACGTCTTGCTGAAACACTTCAGCTAGGATCGCCACAATCCAGAACATCCCCGTGAGAGAGGATAGTTTGATATAAACATACACATTATGGCGCTCCTTCATGCCATGATGTTTCTTGATATTTTCTATTTTAGATATTGCACGAATTGTTACAACGAAGAATGTGAGGTTCATCATTACAATGACACTGAGTGGCAACACGAAGGAAAAACCTACAAGTTTGTTTGACGTGAGGTAACACACAATACCTCCATAACCCACGTCGGTTCCACCTGATAACACTGAACTGACCGTTACTGTTACTGCTACCACTAGAGCAGCACTTCCGAAGGCATACAAAGAGTATCTGAGCAATGCCTTAGTATGTCTTGTTCTACTCTGGGGAATAATGTTCTGCACGGCGAACACACGTAACATATGAAATGAACAGACGTTCATCCAGAACATTACACAAAGCCACATGAAATGGATGAAGACACCAATAATTGTACACACAATGTTATTCTCAGTCCTATCTATGCCGAATTGGAAAAGCAGCTGAGCTAGAAAGAGGCACCCGACGAGGAACATGTTATTTTTACCGGGTAACGATCGGAGGGTTGGGAATACACAGTAGGTGATGAAGGTCAAGAGCAAGCAAATTAAGGATAGAGAAACGCAGACGACAGACAAAATTTGTTTGGCAAGAACAGATGCTGATACGAGGGATACATTACTTCCATTTTTTGTATGAACCGTTGTAAATGTCATTTAGTACTTCAACACATACCCTTGCCCTCTTCCTGTCATCAATTGAAAAATCACTTGAAGAGATAGAGATATTGGCACCATCAAGTGTAATCCAGCCACTCGCCTCTGCTTCATATTCACTCTTTCGCAACTTTACGTGTGGACAGAAAAGTTCATTTGTTACTTGTATAACACGTGATGAGATAGTTCCACTGGCCTGCTTCAAGTTGAATGTATCCGCCACAGGAACACAGCAATGGCCTGATACGGGATCAGCCCAATATCTGGCTTTTAGTTTCACTTTTGAAAGAGGAATATGGTTAAAGCTTGGAGTGAACACATGATCGTTGTCGTCAAACGACACTATCCACATTTCTGTCGAAAAGTTGTAGAGTTTTGTTTCAAGCTCAGTTCTGTTCATTTCTTGAGTGACAATAAAATTGCATTTGATGATGACTGCTCTCGGGAAACCTACCTCATCTTGGTTTTGCTGCAAGCCATTCATGTCTTCTAACAATCCCACTGAAAAAACGTAACTCGACGTTCGAAATTTAAACATGAATTCTTTGAAGTTTTTCAAGAACATCTGTTGTACGGTATTCCAGTGAGCTATGGCCTCGATGGCGATGTCGTTTTCAGGCTTCAAGATGACGTTGAATTCGTATTCGTCATTCACGGCGTCATCCTCTGCCCAAACGCAGTTTCCATCAACAAGGTTCTTGCCTGGTGAACAGTACACCGGAATACACTTGCCCTGTGTGAAAATAGCAAACTTTGCAAATATATTTGTGTTACTGTGTGACATCGATGTTAGGGTGGCCGTGTACGACTCTGATGGTTCAATCAGTCGAACACCATTGAATTCAAGCTTACGTATACCCAGCTCAGTGTTTTTAGATTCATCAAAGGTGTATCCAAATGACGTGTTGAAGGGTAAAAGAAAAAATGTTAACTTCGAATGGTGTAGCCCTTGTTCAAACAAATCTCCCTTTGCTTTCATTCATTTCAACAAAGCTATCGCTGGAGCTGTCATTAATTAACGAAGGTCAGAACATTGTTTGTTGTTTGTTTGTTTAACGCCGCACTTAGCAATATTCCAGCTATATGACGTAGGTGTGTACAATCCAGTGATCAACAGCATGAGCATCGATCTACGCAACTGGGATACGATGACATGTGTCAACTATATCAGTAAGTCAGCAAGTCTGACCTCCGGATCCCGTTAGTCTTACGACAAACATGGGTTGATGAAGACCCGGATCTTCATGGGTAGTCAAAGTGAAAAAAGAAATCCATGAGACGTTGTTGGTTATAAAAAGTTTGGAAGTGGCGTAAAATGTTTTCTTTTAAATGCCAATATCCTTTTTCGATATGAATGCAAACTTGTATTGTTGATTATCAAAATAATGGTTTTTAAGCCTTATTAAAAACATGCCATAAATTTGCATTTCTTGAGACGAAGGCTACACAATGAGTATTAACCTGTTTGGATAACAATAAGTGAGTATTAGTTTTACACCGCTTGCAGCAATATTCCATCAACATTAGTGCGACATTCGCCAGAGACGATATCAGTGTATCTTCCTTTGTAAAAGAAACCAATTCTTTGGAGTTATTAACGAAAGCTTTAAGCACTAGGTTACTTCCGCCCCTGGTTTCATAACAATGATACATACCTTTATGAAATGCAGCCATTCGTCGTCCCCACATTCTGTAGATTCAGGTTTTCTATCTGTATCCTTGTGTGGATACAGAAACTGTGTGATGACAGTTATTGGAGGCGGCAAAGGACGTAAGCCTGCCAGATCATACTTCACAGTCCGACCAGGTGTAATCCCATTACAAACAGCACAGAATACATTTCGGTATACTTCATTTTCATAGGAAACAGGGTAATGATGGACCCCACATGCAGTTTCTATGTCCTCTACATAGTTATCCCATAGCCCAGATACGTTGCAGGCCATGATCTGCGTTCGCGCTGCCAACATAGGATCACATGTTCTTGGGTTGTTGCTTCTGGTAGAGCTGTACACTTTGCTGCAGTCTTCTTCATTGTCATAGAAACCATCTGATAGGCCAATGTCGTCTGCTTCGCTGTCACCGCTCCCGTAACCGGAAGTGCAATCCAGTTCCATAATCCACGAATGATAGTCTGTAACATCATTACATTCAGCAACTTCCTCGTTGAAAAACGACATATTTCTCGACACTGAGGTTACAGGGGAGAAGATATGGTCAGTAACCGCTCGATCTGGACATTCTGTAACCATGAAAACACCAAACCCAACTTTTGATTGAATGTCAAGGTCATTCTCACTAAACAGGCATGTTGGAGGGTTCGGATCACGACTAATTGTCCCATTGTCATCTGGACAACAGTCTCCATATATCTGACACTCGTCGTCGCATCGGCATTCCAGACACCAAGGATTCGCGTGGAAACTTAACCTACTGTATTGCTTTTTCTCGGTGCCATCACAGTAGACATTGCAATACTGAACAAGGTACTGGGTGCTGTTGAGGGCATACACATCAAGGTCCAGTTCCGGTAATGGCTGGGCATGGGTAGATAACACCACAACTAGCAGCAGGAGGATGGATGTCATCTTTGACCTGAAAATACTTCATGCATGTATTCTGATACGCCGCATAACACATTTGGAATTTATTTGGGCTGTTATCTAGTATCTTGCAAATAATAAGAAAACTATTTGGCAATCGAGGATTTGCTGCCACCACCTTCTAGTGAGGAACCTCATGATATGGGCTTCACAGTTACAGCCCTGGCAGTGCAAGGATCCTCATATTGCTGGATCCACCTGATTATGATACTTGCTTTGTGGGCTGCATGAAATTTGTAAATCTCGGGCTTAAACATTACTCAATCACTTATTCAACGTTATCACTATTCTTAAAGTCCGTTTGCGGCAAACTCGTACCGATAAGGGGGCGGTGGGGTAGCCTAGTGGTTAAAGCGTTGGCTCGTCACGCCGAAGACCCGGGTTCGAATCCCCACATGGGTACAATGTGTGAAGCCCATTTCTGGTGTCCCCCGCCGTGATGTTGCTGGAATATTGCTAAAAGCGGCGTAAAACCAAAACTCAGTCAGTCAGTCGTACCGATAAAATGGCAAATATATGTACATTCGAAAGCAACAAATCGTCTTTAATGGCTAGGTTAGTCATTTGTCCATGCCAAATCGTCCCTATTATTTCAGACATTTGCATGAAAAAGGGGAAATATTTTACAGACTCCCTTGGTATATTCCGTTGAATAACTACTGTAGAAAGATACGCTCCTGATGTTGACATTCCTATTGACAGACTTTCATTGCAGAAAAGAACGGTAGTGGGTTGGCAAAACACGTGCGATTGCCAAGTCCAAATGGTGGGCTGTTCTACATACACTGCATACCCCCTTGTTACAACAGTCATTAAAACACCAACATTTACAATGTCGTTTGTAAAACAACTTTTCCAATGTCTGAAATTACAGTGACAGGTTGGTATGGACAAATGACCAACTTTCATCCCATTTAAGACAGTTTGTTGCTTTCGAATGTATATTACTTTGCCATTTCATCGGTACGATTTTTGCAGGAGACGGCTTATAGTACGAGATGTCGCCGTGGCCAGGGTACTGAAGGCTTAAAGTACAGTTCTTGTAGTTGCATGCTAACACGTTTGATGAATACCAAGATTATAATCAGAGCGTTTAACCTTTGACGACTCTGACTAGACGCGACCTGCGGGTCATTAGACAACAGGACTAGAGGGCCTCGAAGTGATAGAGACAATAATGTATGTAGATGTGCATTGCAGTAAGTTTTAAAAAGAACCACATAAGTAGTTCAACGGAATGTTTAGGATAAAGTGAGGGCGAAAAACAGAGTTTCGTGTTAAAGCGATCAATCAATGCACAAAAGTATTAACTTTTCAATTTGTAAATGTCTTTTTTTATAGATACCGCCTATTCCTAATCTGTAAATTATACAGAAATAAGCATGGCGATGTCGATATAGCATTAGTCTATGTGAGTTGAAGTCAAAAACAGAAAGTCCCCCCAAAACAAATGGCATTATTGTAACTCTTGGGAAAACATAAACATTGATATATTATATATCTTGGGAAATCGCGAGGTTAATGCCTTAAACATCACTGCTTGCAAAGTACAAAAATTTATTAAAGTAAATCGTTTCGCATATATCAGGGGATATACTCAAGGCAACCAAAAAGACAAACAGTATTGAGTGAGAACTATATTGTAAGCGAAGAGTAAATGTTCTTTGGAAAATGTTTCTCGAATATGTTTTATGTAAAGAGTTCATGGACTTACCCAAACACAAAGAAAGGACAATGTACACGTAATTGTTATTAGCACACGCTGCCTTCTGAATTTAATTTTAACAAAAACGAACAGAATGTTTCAAATTACAGTGTCTCTTTTGAAATCGTCATTTGTATGTCTATCAGCATTACGGATAGCTGATATGACCATGTGCATATATAAGAACACACAGATGACTCCAAGACAGGGCCTCTTTGAACAGAGAGACTGATGGGTTGTAGATTCGACAGAGTTGAGGACGCTAATAAATAAGTTACCCGAACGTTAGTGAGGTCGAAAATTGTAAGTTGTCAACTGTCGGACGTATTCCGTCAGAGGAGTGACGGAGTGTGGGCGTGGCAATCCTAAAACCCGACCCCTAGACTAGACATGATCGTTTTATTACGTTATTTATTACACTAATTGCATTTCGCAATAGATTCAGATACTTGTTTTCAAAAGATCATCGCGAAGAATAACAGGACTTATCAAGTTTAATCATCTACCGTTCAGAACTAGCTATTTGCAGGCCGCGTGGGAGCTTATAAGTAGGTGGCAAATATTTGGGACGGCTTTGCAACATAAATCAAGGGCTTGCCACCGATTCAAAGATGACAGCCTTGGTTGACGACGTTCTGGCGAGCGGTATGCCAGTGCAATAACTCTTGAGAATAATCGGTACAGAATTGGTGGAAGATTATGGCGCGGAGCGGTATCCGACATCACAGGCGAACTGATTTCGTTATTGTGTTATCGACATTTGACTGGCCGGCCATATGTTGACGAAATACTGCGTCCTATCGCTGCTCCATTAGACAAAAGCCTGAGACGAATCATTTTTACATTTTTGTGTAATATCATATGCACAGAATTGAAAAAGAATGATTCGCAATCAGGTTTAAAAATATATTGTTTGCTGAACATGCTTGTTTTCTAAATATGTTCAATATCAATGGACCCAAATAATCATTTCTTAGACACATCACGTAGCGTCATTTGTGTGATGACGTCATGTGATCTACTGGGCTGACGTCACGTTGCATTGTTTAGTTCCATCGAATTTTGTTCTACGCATATACTACTTCTATTCATTATCAGACAGAACGTGTCAGTCATGTCTTTATAACACTACACATCATGCATGACACCTCAAAGACATATACCGCCTCCGTGGTGTAGTGGTTAGAGAGTCCGCCCGGAGAGCGGAAGGTCGCGGGTTCGTCATGCCAAAAGACGTTAAAATATGGTACTTGTTGGTCCCTGCCTGGCGCTCGACATTAATGGGTACAACAAGGACTGGTCGGCTCGGAGTCAGTATAATGTGTCTGAGTGGGGTATTCATGCTTAACTGCGACATGGTATCTCAATGAGCTTGCACTATGAAAAAAGGGCCAGCTTAAGTCTGGACTAGTACAAGCAGATACACATACACACGCATGCACGTCCTCATATGAGCGAAATATTCTGCGACGTTAAACCCTATTTCACCTCACCTCACCTCAAGGCATACTGTTGCTTAACCAGCGCATCTTAGTCCATGGTATCGCCCGTCATTCGGCCTCAAGAGTAACCCCAGGTTGGATGGCGCTAGGCCAAGGGCAAAAACTCTTCGCCCGAGAACATCCTACAGTTTCTGTATTGGGGACATGTGAGTGGTCTTGTCCATAATCACCGCATGGACTTTCAACTGAGATAATCTGTGACGACATGGGAACGATATGGGCACTGGCAATTCAAAAGTTTCTACCTATAATGAGACGGCTTAATATTTCTTTTATCTAAAAAAAGCACTTACAAAAATACAAAGTTCGTGATCTTGAAAATTCAGAATAAAATCCCTAGTGATTTTGTTTATACATCAGTTTGAACATGCTGTTCTGATATTTAAAAATTAAATAGAACATGGTACAGTACCTTGTGCATGAACCGTTGTCTAAACAGGCTGACACCTCCAGAATCACTGGTCTTGCTCACAGCACCAGTCGACCCTATGGGAGAGGTTTATAGTCATCAGGCAGCCTATCACGGATGCATGCAGCACTTGAGAAGAGTTCAAATTGTCTCCTATATTATACAGAGCGACGGAACAGGTCGTACCATTTCCCAATTAGCATACAATGTTTACCACTCATGAGAGCCGCTGGCACGTTGGTTTATTCTCATGCTGTCTGGGCCCGAAGTGGATAGCTGCAATAGAAGGATGCACCTTCATGTGATGTTATTTTTGTCTCATGTCAGACCAACGAGTATCAATTATTTGCGTAATTATGGATGAAACGGCAACGACAGAAAATAACCAGTGTCCATTTTCGGCCGAAACAGACTCAGAGGGGCGTTAAAGGCAAATAACCGATGACTGAAAGTTATAAAAACTTTCATATTGACAGACCTAACCTCGATTCAAATGTATCTTAGTATCTGTATTTTTATCTTGTTTAAATGCCCTCTTCAAAAAACAATGATGGATGCCCAGCTGAACACTTTAGGTTTCTGTTTGGTTGTTGTTTAACGCCGCACTCAGCAATATAACAGCTATACGGCGGCGGTCTGTAAGTAATCGAGTCTAGACCAGACAATCCAGTTATCAACAGCATGAGCATCGATATATGCAAGTGGGATACGATGACATGTGTCAAACCAAGTCAGCGAGCCTGACCACCCGATCCCGTTAGCTGCCTCTTACAACAAGCATGGGTTGCTGAAGACCAAACTCACTCACTCGGTGTTATTACATATAATATCACACTCCGGAGCAGTGATGACTTAGAATAACATCACTGCCACAGGCTAATTTGCATATCACGTGATCGGACTTTTGCTCTTGTTTGTCAACAAACGCGCATATTCATAATAAGAAGAGACTGGCCTTACGCAAGCTTTTCGACGCGCTCTTCACAGTGCTTTTACATTGTTACATATATATTCTTCCACAACTGCGACAGTAAGATTTATGACAGACAGTTTAGATATTTTACTGGCTGCATCGTTTGCTCTCCGTCGGCTTCGGTGACAGCACGTGGAGCCGTACAACCTATGTAAACAAAGGATCACTACGCAAATCGAAATAGTGTTACATGTTTTAGGATATTTTCTCAGTGAAACTAGACCATTGTATCAAAGATCTTTAATTAGATGTGTAGACTCGTCAAAAATTAAAGTTAAGAAATATGTACATTATATTGAATGGACGGTGCAAGATGTGACGAATCGTCACATCTTTCTGGCCTGTGGCAGAGGTACTATGCTGGCTTGCCGCATGGAACTCTGGGTAGGAGAGTGATATACTATATGTGAACATATATCATACATCGCTAATTTCGTAACGTTAATTTGCAGTGTTATATGCAGTTTAGTGAGTTAATAATGCATGGGGTCTGAGTGCGTCCCAAAGATCAACCGTTTGGAGAAAAAAAACAGCAAAATACAATATTAACACTGATTTTTTTTTTATCAAACCAAAAAATATATAGACATTTATCCCATAAAAAACAATAAATGGAAAACTGCACATCGAATTTGATCTACTCGAAACCTCGACCCGATAGGTACTAAATGCTAACACTCCCTATTACAGCTGTACGGACACTATTAACGCACCAATTTGTGTCTGATGCAATAAAAAGTATTAACGTGTCCCGATGGTAGACACTGACAGCTATCAATGTGCTATATATATGTCAAATCCCTTTGTTGAGAAGCAGGAACATCGTCAGGACCAGTAACTGTTGGGGTAATTAGGGGTAATCGTTGGCGATGAGCGTCACTGGCACGTTGTGTAGGTGGCTTGTGCATGTGTGGTTCTAACAACTTTCGTCCATGGTTCTAACTACATTTCGTCTATATACAGGATTGTGTATCAGTAGAGTTAGTAGTACGGTTGTTTTGTGTGGTGTTACACAAACATTGACGTTGGATTTAATGTTTGGACGATTATTTCACAACCGCTGTACCATAATGGTTGTTTTCTATGTGAACCAGGCGTTTAATGTAACTGGTGTTTGAGTCAATAAGCATTTCTGTGGTGTCGATTTGGGTTGTTGGTATGGTGTGTGTTTTATTAAGTGACCTCCGCATGACCGAATAAGGGTATTTGGTTTTCCTCATTTAAATGATGTTAGATAAACATCATAAACATCAGATATTACTTAAATCCTTTCAATTCGAGCTTACAAAAGTATCCTAGAAGGATATTTTTCGATATGGCCGTTTGATAATATTGCGTCAATTTTGTAAATATCGGTTTCCTGAACTGATTTGTTTGTTTGTTTGTCTGTTTGTTTGTTTGTTGCAATATCCCTATTATATGTCGGTGGTCTGTAAATAATCTCTGGACCAGACAATCCAGTGATCAACATCATATGCATCGATCTATTGATATACGATGACATGTGCCAACCAAGTCAGCGAACCTGACCACCCGATAACGTTAGTCGCATAGGTTGCTGAAGATCGAATATAACCTGGATCTTCACGGGTTTCCTGAACTGTCGAAGGTAAATATACATGACATTTACAAAACCGTTTTGACCCGACGGTTCCTTGTTAGGACATAGAAAAATAACTAGTTCATAAACACAAACAAAAACAAATATTAAATATTTTGATATATGAAGGGCATTTCGTAATGGCATCTGACAACTCGGACATTAACTTAAAAGACATCGGTTGGTAGGGTAGGGTAGCCTAGTGGGTCCGATTCCAAACATGGGTATAATGTGTGAAGTCCATTTCTGGTGTCCCCCGAGGTGATATTGCTGGAATATTGCTACAAGTGGCGTAATAACATAGCTATATGCTCACTATTAGTTATCACAACAAAAAGCATTTGGCTCGACCCATTGCCAAATGTGATGAGAAACCTAAGAATGTAACGATGATGCATATATATAAACATGGACCTCAGAAAGCGTTTTGAAAACATCTGTAAACCAAACAAAATACAATACAATATATGGCTAAATTCCTCAAATGGATTGCCAACATTTTAAAGAATAACCTGCGCTAGAATATAACCTGCACTAGGAATACGATTAAAGATGTAACACGAAAACAATAGACCACCTCCAGAATAGAGTATATGTCCAAACATCGTTAACATAGTACATCGTTAGTACTAGCAATAACCTTGTTGGAGATAGTTCATGAAACAATAAGATAAGACGCTATAGTATTATCAGTCAACGATGTATATACCTATAAAAGTAGCTCTATTTTAAACTTTTAAATTTAATCTAAAACTTTTTGAACTTGTGTTTTCCCATTGATGGGTCATCCGCTATCATGACACCTTGCACACATTAGTCCGTGCTGTCTGCAGGTTATGCATGCTCTGGTTCATTATTTCTAAATGTACCACAACACGCGTTTTCCCAATCTTATTATAATCTGTTACTTCGATTGGCCAGCTCCCCGCGATCTGGCTGTCACGCCTCTATAGCAGGTCGTACCTGGCACACGTTCTTCCCAGTTATACAACGGAGCAGAGGAACAACAACAAACAAACAAATTGTACAATATTGACAATGTTTATGCATAACAACTTCTTTTAATTTGTAAGTGCGACGTTTCCAGATTCTTTTACCCTTGTCAGGATTTCCTGCATCGAAACGTTTTTTTAATATTGTACTTCCCAATTTCTCAAATGCAACTCAAAGACGTTAAACAAATTGTAGGTCAGGGGCGGATTCAGGATTTTGGAGAACATGGGGTGAACATAAATCATGAAGTCAGGGGTGCGCATCCCGCACACACACCACCACCACCCTCTGGATCCGACCCTATAGCTTCACTGACAAGGGGTTATCGACTTTTCTGCTGTAGAGTCATCCACTGATAACATTACTCTTTAGAAACCGATACCAAATTTAGGACATCAACTGTGGTTCTTGATTGCCAATGGCCGTTGTCGTGGTCAATATGACAACCAAAAGGTTTGGAGTAAGTCGTGTTTGTCTTTCACGTCCTGGCACCGAAACCCTGTCTGATCCACGGGATCTGGAGTATCATACATCATTATAAGGGTGAAACTCCATTTGCAGCGACAATAATTCTGTCCCATCAGGTAAGGGGAATTTAACGCACATTATACTGTATGAGATAACATTAGGGGATAAACCAAGCGGTGCAATTTACTGTATGGTCAGAGGTCGGCAATGTAAACGGACAGAAACTCTTTACTTTTCCCAGTAGAAGGACGGACAAACATATTTGATACCATCGGTCGTTTACACTAATGGTCTGTCATAATGGGGAAATTACTAATTCGTTCTTGCGTAAAAAAAGGTCACATTTGACTCTCATGTGAGAGCAAATGTAGCTTTGTAATACAAATAAGGTTGTGGTTATGCTCAAAACGATTTGCAATGATAATGATGGTGTCGTTGATGTGAAGCAGACAAGAACCACATTAAATCAGTGATCGACCAAGCTGCCCCTCGGAGGGATATGGGAGTCATGACTGTTTGTTTCTTTATTATTTAACGCCGTACTCAGCCATAGTATAGCTCTATAACAGTGGAGTGAACATGATCGGATTTTGACCGGACAATCCGGTGATTGATATTATGACAAAGGTCCCATGTCGGGACACTTTATCAACTAGGTCACCGTACCAGGCCATCAAATCCATTTATTCGAGAACAGACTGGGGACGTATTCTAACCCGAAATCACTACATCTTAGAGTGAGTGGGTGAGTTTAGCTTCACTCCGCTTTTGGCAATATTCCAGCAATATCACGGCAGGGGACACCAGAAATGGGCTTTAAACATTCTACTCATGTGGGGAATCGAACCCGGGTCTTCGGCGCGACGAACGAACGCTTTAACCACTAGGCTACGTATAACTTACAACCTACAACTGCTTGGCAGGTTTGGCTGTGTAGCAGAATAATTGGACCTTTTGAATCAAAACGATGCATCCGACATTCCCTATTCCTGTGAATGATAACGCTAATCCCCTTTATTTCGGGATGTTTCAGTTTCTAAGAGCCGGCGAATCGCTATGTCGACGTTACCAATTTCATACAGCAGTGCTGGAATCAAAATATCCTAATATTATTCAACGTTGTTCCAGCTGATTTTTTTCAGGCATTTGAGAAGCCGATTTTGGCAGTAACGAACAAATGGTAAAAATGGCAACGTCTCTATTTACAGTCAATATTATTCCAGTTGACGAAAGCTTACGATTCACTGTAGTTTTATGTGAACATAGAACTGCACTTAAACCCAGATCTGACCATACCTCTAATCCAGTCAGTATATCAGTATAACCGACCAGTGTGATAGTCATTGGTACTGCTTTACCGATCTCCATGAACTTTGCTTGTTTACCCAGATGCAGTCTATTCTCGTTAACATTTAGCTGAATGATAGCTCGCCCCTCTCTGAGGGTGACAGGTCAAAATACCTCATTATGAGCAATCTACAGCCCCTCTTGATGAGGCACTCAAATGAAAACGCTGCAAACACAATGCAGATGATAACTTTTCCACCCTTCAGTTCTTCTTGTTTTATCTACCAAACCAAAACATTTTAAGCTTAAAAAAAGCTGTACAAAACTGCCACCAACTAACTAACAATAAATCTATCTATCAAATGAATACACACCGTGAGTACGTCCATCACCCAAGACCACACTACATCTGAACATCCTAGTATGCGGACTTCCAGAAAAGACAAATCAAACACTTAAACCCTGATCCACACCGTGCATTCTCCTCCAATTTAAGACAATCCAGTCTAACATTTGAACCCCGATGCATACGGTAAGCCTTTTCAGATCAAGTTATCATTTTGACAATGTTTGCATACAGTAAGCCCTTTAAGACCAATTTACCATTTTGACACTGTTTGCATACGGTAAGCCCTTTAAGGCCAATTTACCATTTTGACACTGTTTGCATACGGTAAGCCCTTTTACGGTACGGTTTAACGTTGTGCATGAGAATATTTCGCTCATATGACGACGTGCATGCTTGTGTTTGTGCGGCTGCTTGTACTAGCCCAGACTTAAGCTGGTTTGATAGTGCTAGCTCACTGAGATACCATGCCGCAGTGAAGCATGAATACCCCACTCAGACACATTATACTGACTCCGAGCCGACCAGTCCTTGTTGTACCCATTAATGCCGAGCGCCAGGCAGGGACCAACAAGTACCATATTTTAACGTCTTTTGGTATGACGCCGTCGGGAATCGAACCCGCGACCTTCCGCTCTCCGGGCGGGCGCTCTAACCACTACACCACGGAGGCGGTCTCATCCTTTTGAGACCCTGATAGAAACCGTGCATACGATCACCCCTTTAAGACCAACCAATATACCATTTGAACCCTTATACCAATCCTACAAACGTTTATCACTTCAAGACCAACAATCTACCATCTGAACCCTGATACCGATCCTACAAACGTTTATCACTTCAAGACCAACCAATCTACCATTTGAACCCTGATACCGATCCTACAAACGTTTATCACTTCAAGACCAACAATCTACCATTTGAACCCTTATACCGATACTGAAAACGTTTATCACTTCAAGACCAACCCATCTACCATTTGAACCCTGATACCGATCCTACAAACGTTTATCACGCCAAGACCAACAATCTACCATTTGAACCCTGATACCGATCCTACAAACGTTTATCACTTCAAGACCAACTAATCTACCATTTGAACCCTGATACCGATCCTACAAACGTTTATCACTTCAAGACCAACAATCTACCATTTGAACCCTGATACCGATACCGATCCTACAAACGTTTATCACTTCAAGACCAACCAATCTACGATTTGAACCCTGATACCGATCCTACAAACGTATATCACTTCAAGACCAACTAATCTACCATTTGAACCCTGATACCGATCGGATCCTACAAACGTTTATCACTTCAAGACCAACAGTCTACCATTTGAACCCTGATACCGATCCTACAAACGTTTATCACGCCAAGACCAACCAATCTACCATTTGAACCCTGATACCGATCCTACAAACGTTTATCACTTCAAGACCAACTAATCTACCATTTGAATCCTGATACCGATCGGATCCTACAAACGTTTATCACGCCAAGACCAACCAGTCTACCATTTGAACCCTGATACCGATCCTACAAACGTTTATCACGCCAAGACCAACTAATCTACCATTTGAACCCTGATACCGATCCTACAAACGTTTATCACTTCAAGACCAACCAATCTACCATTTGAACCCTGATACCGATCCTACAAACGTTTATCACTTCAAGACCAACTAATCTACCATTTGAACCATTTAATCCTAAGATACTGATACCGATCCTACAAACGTTTATCACTCCAAGACCAACCAATCTACCATTTGAACCCTGATACCGATCCTACAAACGTTTATCACTCCAAGACCAACCAATCTACCATTTGAACCCTGATACCGATCCTACAAACGTTTATCACTTCAAGACCAACCAATCTACCATTTGAACCCTGATACCGATCCTACAAACGTTTATCACTCCAAGACCAACCAATCTACCATTTGAACCCTGATACCGATCCTACAAACGTTTATCACTTCAATACCAACAATCTACCATTTGAACCCTTATACCGATCCTACTAACGTTTATCACTTCAAGACCAACCAATCTACGATTTGAACCCTGATATCGATCCTGCATACGTCCATCAGTTCAAGACCAACCTGTCATTTGAGCCTGAATGAACCCGTGCTTCCGGTTATCCTTTTAGGACTAACCTACAACGTTACAACGTGTTATAATCTTTTATAAATGTATTCGTTTGAGACAGATCACATAGGTCCCATAGGGTGTTGACTTTTTAGTCACGTTTCATGAAATATATGAAACATAACATGTGGCATATAAATACAGTGGACAATCCGACACTCACTGGGACCGGGAAATGTCGGATTATACAGAGTGTCGGATAATTCAATGTCTCCTTGCTTGAATACTTTTCAAACAGTACCATACATTGTAACTGGCGTATATTACCTCCCAATTAGCAAGTGCTTGGACCAAAGAGATTACCAGTAACAGGATGTTAATTGTCAACTGGCCATTGACAGGTTGATTGGCTATTTTAGTCCAATATGGGGAGAGGATGTCGGATTGTACATATTATAGTGTCATTGGGACCAGAAAATGGTGTCGGAATTCGGAATGTACAGATGTCGGATAATTCAATGTTTAAATGATGATAATATAGAAGAACGCTGCTGGGACCCCCAAAAATTGTCGGAATTCACAGATTGTCGGATAATTCAGATGTCGGATTATAGTCCACTGTATAATAATCTTTTTTCATTTTCTTTCTTTATCGTCTTTTGTTAGTCTTATTATTTGAACCCTAATAAAGATAATGCATGCAGCTAGCAGTTTCTTGTAAAAATATCATCTGAACCAGCTGAGAAACCTTGTCTACATGTACGACCATTCCTTCAACAATTAATTATAATTATCAGAACCTTAAACAAATAGAGTCTTTGAATGGCATTTAGAAGTGATACACATAAAGGCAAGGATTTTATGGATGTCAATTTCTTTATTGTGATGGACACGACGTTTCGGAGTATATGCTTACTCCTTCATCATTAATATACTCCGAAACGCCATGTCCATCACAATAAAGAAATTGACGTCCATAAAATTCTTGCCCTTAAACAAATACAAATGTAATCATATGATCATCCGTTTGAGACCCTGATATGGGTTGTACATATGCCCATCACGTTGACATACCTTAAAGATCACCATGAAATATTGGTATGAAAAGGTTTTCAACTTACCTTTGAAATCTACCACATCCAGATGATTTAGTCCCCAAGCACTTCCGAGGGCTAGTGTCCCACACCATGCGCCAAATGGCAGTGTCAGCTCCGGGCAGCCAACAAACGGTTGCTCACAGTTGAGGCTGGGATCGCTTCCTGTAATTGCCTCACCACGCTGTTCCTATTCGCAGCCAGATAAACCTCAATCATAAAGGTTAATAATGAATTTATTAACTTCTATTGGAGGCGTAGTTGCATCCCTGGCAGGCCGTTATGTGGCGTTAATCACTTGTTGAATAGGTCAACCAATATTGTGACCGTGTGCCCTTTGTGCAAATTCCATTCGTGATAGCAGATACATATTCACTGTGTTGGATTGTGTCACTGTTGTGATAAAGATAACGTTTTTAATTAGTAGGGCAGGAACATGAACGATAATTTTCCTGATGTAATTGATAGTTGATTTAAACATATTTCTATTCATGAAGATGAATTGGGATTGGTGAACAAGCATTACTGCTTATATTAACACCGCTCCCATGCAACGTATAACACAACATGAAATGGAGGATTTGACGTCATCGTTACTGACCATTGCATAAATATAATATTTTTAAATATATATAAATATATACAGATTACATGAAATACAACTATTCTCTAAGTAGTCATAAGTTAGAGAGTTACAGTTGTGTGTGTCTAACAAGCCATTGTAGAAATATAAATCAATCATGAGAATTGATAGTTGATGTGGTTGACTGTTGTGCATGATTATGCAACTTTATGTGTATCAATGATCGAAGTTTAGTTTCACTGTTGTCTTCTGTCCACCGTTTCGCCATTGATATTTCACGGATTTGACATTTCTAAAACCACTAATAACCTTGAAATCTCACATGGAAGCCAGCAGCTTCTAACATTTTGTCAAGTTTGCCCAATTGAATTTCAATAGGTTTTCCTTACAGTGCATATTGGTACGTTGACGTTTGTTCTGTATATGTTTAACCCTTTGGAATTTTCAGTTTCGTTTATCTGTACGTACAAAGAATGTCTTGGAGACATCTGATTTTATCTGTGTTTGGTTGTAACATGTAAAATCATCTGGACTATGTGATTATAAACGTTAATCTAACTTCTCTTGGGCTTGTACCGTGCAAGGTAGCTTCTCTACAGGTTCGTAAAATCCAGTAACATGCAGGGTATATAAAGGCGGTATAAGGAAATTTCTTTATTTCGTCCAGAAATTTCACACGAAGATTTACAATATCTCTGATGTTACTCAGAGCAAGTACATGGTGCAAGTATGGTCTCAAATATCAATATGAGCCTTATTGACATAACTTGTACAAGTATATATCATAATATTATATCATCTATGTACACAGATGAGAACTATCGCTGTACTACAGATGAAAAGAGGGGTTATTCTATTACATTTTGCATGGTTAAAAATTGATTGACAGAATAATAATGATACACTTTCTCTAGTTTGTCTTAGAGCCTCTGAACCACATTATTTTCCCCTCTCAGCAAAGCGAACGTGGTAAATGAAGGGAATCTCCCATCTCATTGGGGCTCCTTTTCCATTAAAAAGAAATTATTTGCTTCTATTATATATATTCAGAGAGTAAGAGTTAGTGTACACTTTCCCAAGTACTCATGCGCACAATTCCAGAATGTGTTTGAACTAAGTTCCAGAGTAGAGCAAGCATATCATTCTCTCTCAGAAGTTAAATTTGGACATAACTTTCAACATCCATTTTGTCAACGAGGGTGCAGAAGACTTCATTTCTTCATATAAATAATATTTACAGTGTAAATGTACTTGGTATTGGTAACTCAATAACTATATTATGTACTATTTTTGTACTGTATGGCGTATGGTCTTGTATGCAAATATGTCCAAAGACATCAAGTGGGCATTACGTCTCCATTCAAAGTCTCTGAACATCCTCTGATATTAATATCATCAACAAGTCTGTGAATTATTTGTAATATGTTTATTTTGCGAAACATTGTTAGCAAACTCGTTTCTTCGATCCATACTGTGTACACATCTGGTAACTCAGCAATTATATATGTACTATTTTGTACTGTAGGTCGTTTGGCCTCATATGCAATAAATCGCTCTCTCTCTCTAAATGTACTTGGCTGTCATAATCAAAAGCATTTCTGACACATTCTCGAGATGTAATTGGTTTTGAAGATAGCTTGAGAGAGTGCTGGATTCAACAGATAGTTGAAGATAAGATAAGGGAATATTCAAGTTCTGTTGAAGGTCGAGATGACGTTTTTAACTTATTTACATATTTACAAATGAAGGCTTGCTGAGGACTTCTATCGTAATTTATAACCTGAGTTTATATAAGTTGACATGATTTCCCCTTTGAGTGATCCATTCACATAGTTTTCCCGTTATTTTGCATTAAATGCCCGGTGGAATATTCTCCGCAAAATCCATTGCGTTGACCTTATCTATTATAAATAATAATGTAATATATTTATCGGCTATTGGTGGTATTATGTAACAACCTTTGTCGTGTTCATTGTAAGGAATTGCCTATAGTAAAAGTCTAAAAAGCTAGAAAGCTAAAGCGCCCAGTGTCTTTTTTTAATACGAGACTCGTTTTGATTGTGATTCTTGTTTTGTGAGCACCATGAACGGCTCATGGGTTTCATCCAAGTGATAAACATCTATAATTACCTTTATAACCTGGGGCTGTCTTCCCACACTAAGTTGGCATCCCGTGGTATAACTTAAATAGTGTTTACGCCTTTATCCAAACTCGTTCACGTATTTGTTTGGTTATAAAAGGTATTTTCATTGTGCCAGTACACATGTGCTCTTGTTCACTCTGATGTCAGCCTGAATAATCTATGAACATCTTTGCTGACATGTCATTGACAAACAACTAATACGTCCTGTCGATAGTTTATGCAAAATTACAATCCGGGCACCGTTCCTCAAAGCGATCTTAGCGCTAAGATGATCGCAACTCCCATACTTAAGCAATGCCTTATGACTGTCGTAGCGCTACGATCGCTTTGAGGCCCAGGCATCTCGCCAATGAAAACAAGATTGTGGGTAAGGCTTGAGTCTGTTTTGCATGTAACAGGCATCTCATGGTTACGTTGTGTGCAGTCTGCCATCCAAGAGCTTGGTAAGCCCTGAGCCCACCTGCATAAAGCGACAATCTGAAGCCTCTGTTACAGTATTGGAGTTAACATCCCTTTGTGCAGTCGGGCCCTGCAAAGCGCAATGTGTCCTCATACTTGCACATGTAAATGTGTTTCTTCTGTCACACACAAAATAATTTGAGTCTTACTGTTTCCAGGTCAAACGTCCAGCAAATATTTAACACTGACAAATACGCATGACTGAAACGCTTATTCACCAGGAGACAGATAGCATTTCCGAGAGCCCCATACGAAATGTCGCTATCATAAATCAAGCAGTTGAGCAGCCCACTGAGAAATGCCAACAACAATCGGACGTGATTAACTGGCTATCAGTACTGCCGTGCAATCAGATGGCCATTGAGTGGGTCGTAGTATCAGATGCTTCAGAGCAGTGTTTGCTCATAGCTGTCACCGTCTGCCGGGGTTATTGGTTGCATTTGAAACATACGACCATTTTTTGTCTGGAACCACTTTCCAGAATAAATCTCAGTGACCAGAAGACAGCTCAATTATATCTGAATTATGTGTGTAGCAATGTTGTTTCGTATTGTCTTGCAAGGTGAATCGATACAGGATGCAAATCTATATGTGAATTTATTTTCAATTTCATATCACTAATGTGATTATTAATGATTCATGTTGGTATTGTCCACATAAAATCATATTGACATCTCAAAAATTGCGATTGAAACGAATGATTTTAGGTCACTCTGGGAAGAATTCAGTTTGAATTTATGCAGTAACTGAGTATATATTGTGGATAATGTCTTTCTTTGTAGAATTCTCAGTGCTTATGATTTAAACATTTCATTTTGTAAAATAATTAAGGACGTATACAAAACAAACACATTTAAATAATAACCCTCTCGCTGTTTCTGCTCATACCAATGGGAATGTTAAAAACGGTATTCCAAACTGAATTGTGTCGAAGTTTATGTGTGCTTCTTTAACGATTTCTAAAACGCTTATACATTTATTTATGACTGTTCATGGAACGGACAATTAATTCTACTGATGATCCCGTGGAGATTTCTGAATAGAGTCGGTCCTGTGGTATTTGGTGACAGATTGCATATATTGATCAATCTCTGTGAACGCTTGTAACGCAGACAATAACACACTAACGCAGACACTAACCGCACAAACCCACACACTAACACAGACACTAACTGCACTAACGCAGACACTAGTCGCTCTAATGCAGACACTAACCATTCTAACCCAAACACTATACCCACAACAATGACACTAACCATTCTAACCCAAACACTATACCCACAACAATGACACTAACCATTCTAACCCAAACACTATACCCACAACAATGACACTAACCATTCTAACCCAAACACTATACCCACAACAATGACACTAACCATTCTAACCCAAACACTATACCCACATCAAAGGCACTAACTGCTCTAACACATACACTTACTGTTCTAATGCAGACACTAACCCCACTAACCCAGACACTAACCCCACTAACCTGACACTAACCCGGACACTAACATAGACTCTAACCCCACTATCCTGACACTAACCCGGACTCTAACCTAGACTCTAACCCCACTGACATGGACACTAACCCGGACTCTAACCTAGACTCTAACCCCACTGACATGGACACTAACCTGGACTCTAACACCACTAACCCAGACTCTAACACCACTATCCTGACACTAACCCAGACTCTAACCTAGTCTCTCACCCCACTAACCCTGACACTAACTACACTTAACCCCACGAACCCTGACACTAACTACACTAACCTCACTAACCCTGACACTAACTACACTAACCTAAACACTAACCCTGACACTAATTACACTAACCCCACTAATCCTGACACTAACTACACTAACCCCACTAACCCTGACACTAACTACACTAATCTAAACACTAACCCCACTAATCCTGACACTAACTACACTAACCCCACTAACCCTGACACTAACTACACTAACCCCACTAACTCCGACACTAACTACACTAACCCCACTAACCCTGACACTAACCTAAACACTAACCCCACTAACCCTGACACTAACTACACTAATCCCACTAACCCTGACACTAACTACACTAA